TGTACCCCTACCCTTTTACCAAAAACAATATATATACACGTGTCATGCTAAAGGGATAAAAACCCGTTGCTGAAATTAACCATCTGTTCATAAATTCAATTTATTGTATTTGGATAAGGTGTAATGAAATTTTTCCATTGAGGAATTAATGTAGGGGTAATAAGCAATAAATAATAATTAAATGGTCATTGGAATATGGAAGTATTTTTTTAAAAAAATAGTATATGGAAGTATAATATTTATCCTAATTTAAAAATTAAATTAAATCTATAATCTATAATTAATACTAATGTAGCAACCGCTGATATCATACTATTTTAAAATATGACACATGACATGTTGTCATTAAATATTTTCCCTCCAAAACTATAAATGATGTCATCGTTTTGTGACTTCTATTGTATTTTATTAAAAATTCTGGTCAATTACATTATTATTAGGAGTATCAAATTTTGAAAATGGTCAATTCTATTTAACAATTAATAATTTATTTTGTCTTCCTCGGATACTATTTCATCATTCATTTTTTCTATGAACTCTATTATTATTTTTTTTATATTTTATGTTTCATGTTTTAATAATAACTTTTCTTTTGATTTGGTTATGAAAAAATTATTAAGTTTATAAAATTTTATTTGATAAAATGGTGCATCGTACAAGACTAATCTAGTTGTTATTAAAACTAGACAAAAGATGAGGTTTTAACTCAAATAGTTGTAAAAAATATACAAATAATGAACTTTTATTAGACAATTTTTTTTTTGAAATTTTATATATTCCTCCATTTAATCACAATTGACTATTTATAAACGCAATTTGTGAATTGTTTTTGCTAATGAATTATGATATTAATTGCTTTGCTTTAGCTACTTATAAGTATAATTAGATCAAGTGTAGCCTGTAGCCCAATATAAGTTAGGTTAATTTTAAAAAATAATAAGATATGAATGTTAGACAACTAATAATTGTTGTATTATACCAACACAATTATGTTAACATTACATGTTAGTATGTCATCGTCACCCCTTAAAGGCAGCTTGTGAACAATGTCGTGTTACAACGTGTTTTGTACTCAAGTGAGTCGTGCTTGAAATGATTCAAAAAATCGTGTTGTGTCAGCCTTTACAGAAATGACTTCGAACACCTCCTCTGAGTTTTATTCTTGCAAAACTCATAGATTGAGCCCATGAACGGCAGAGTCTAGACGTCGCATCATATCAAGACCAAATTTAAAGGGTCAACACGCTTACGCGCTAAACCAGCCATTTTGCCAAATTAAAATATGACGTCAAGCCACAATTAACGTCTCAACACACTCTTGCCGGCGGTCTAGCTCTATGTCCGACCATCTCTATTATGTAATCACTACTTATTAGGTGTTTGGTTCATTAAATAAAAATGGATTGATATGGTATCTCATACAGTATTAGAGAGAGTTATAGATTCTTAAACTTATACTAGCCTAAGGTTTTTTGGTTGGAATGAATTTTATACATTAATAATACAATGGACTGTGAATCTCAGGGGGAGAGGTACGTAAGAGGCTATAAGAGCTTAGGATGGAGTTTAAATCTTTTAGGTATGAGGTTCCTTAGCTTGCTTAAAAAGCTCAACTACAAAAAAAAATAAAAAAATGGAATGGATTTTAACTCCATTTCAACCCATTCCAAATAATTCAACTAAACAGCCTCTAAATACAATACTAGTACAACCATTAGTCCATTAAGATGAATTGAGATACGTATAGAAAAATGAAACTCATATCATCCTCCGATTCCACCCATCTAATGATGTAAGAAGAAGAAAACTCTCCAGAGTAGTAATCCATTCCTTTATTCGAATCATTATAGTACTATACTGTAGTATCAATTGGTTAATTGGATTCTTTACCCCTAGGATATATATATATATATATATATATATATATATATATATATATATATATATATATATATATATATATATATATATATATATATATATATATATATATATATATATATATATATATATATATATATATATTTTAAGGCTTTGAGAGGCAACTTCTCCTTGTCGTTAAATAAGATTACTCCTTTCCTATGGAGTATTTGTAAAACTCGAAATGCCTTGATTTGTTTTTTTAAATTTTTAAAATACCCTTATTTCTTCCTTGTCTACTCTTTCTCGAACTCAAATGACTTACTTTGAACACACTATTAGGACTCATTTAGACTCTCTTGAGACTAATTCAATTTTGACCCCATCTCCTATTAAATCGTTCATGCATGTAGCTTGGCCCCCTCCCTCGGTTGGTGTTGTTAAAATTGACTTTGATGGTTCTGTCTGAGACAGATCAGGTGTTGCATGTATCGTTATTAGAGATCACTTTGGCAATAACGTTTGTAGTTGTATGTTTAATTTAGAAACAACTACTCATCTAATTGCTGAAGTTATAGCTCTCCGAAATAGACTCCTTTTGGCCCGTGCCCCTGGAAGATTCAATTGTTTGATGAATGACGTCAACAAGCTTCTTTGTCATTTATGCGGTGTGGAATTCAAATACGGAGTATATTTTAAGAGTAGGCAGTCGAGCAACAGATTATGTTATTTCCTTGGGTTATTACATCCAATTTTGTCTTTGTTTTAACTAAATTCTTTACACTTTTTTTTTAATGATTAAAATTAAATTTTGTATACTCCTAACTATATTAATTATCCCTACCGTTTAATTTACAACCAAATTCTAACGTATTCAATCTTGTATCCTATTTAATATTCAATACTATACAAATTCATAGTCAATAATAAAGTGCACTACGACAATTTTTTTTAGGTATGAAAATTATGTGTTGTACTAGATGAACAATAATTTAAAAAAAAAAAAAAAAATCCATCTTGTATGGCTAAGATTTTCGAAGGTCTCTAGCACCCCCCATGGGATTTTCGAGGGTCTCTAATACCCCATGGCTAAGATTTCCGGGGGTCTCCAGTATCCCCCGGAAAAGGTTTTCGGGGGTCTTTAGTACCCCCCGGATAAGATATCCGGGGGTAAACAACATCCCCGAAAAACATATGCGGGGGTACTTATAATGAAAATTACAACAATTCAACCAAAAAACAAAAACCTTAGGTCGGAGTGAAGAACTTGTTCGTCTCTAAGGCTCATATTAAAGAATTTGAGGGAAATGGTGAAATAAAATGAATTACCAAAAAAAAAAAAGGGGATTTTTCACCATATTCCACTGAGTTAAAGCTTAATTCACCATATACCATAGAAAACTTTCTAATTCACCATATACCATTTAGTTTAACTAAAATGTCACAACATGCCATTAATGACTAACGGACGCTAACACCGTTAGTCATTAAGGCTAATAAGGCCACGTGACAACATATATTTGGTTCCCTTTTGAATTACTTAATTTTAAAATAATTATATAATTAACTACAAAAAAAAGAAAAAAATAAAAAGAAAAAAAACCAGCCACCCACGTCCCTCTGGCCAGCCACCACCTGTCGGCGCAAAACTCGACAATAACCCTCGCGTCGGCGCAACCACAACCCCCGTACTGGCCTGAAACTTGATGAGAAAACCCCGCCGGGCCGTCGGCGCTACTCCCTTTCTCTTGAACCACTGATGAAATCCTACGTGAACAACCGAACCACCGGTCGCGAACACAACCCATCTCCCTCGAAAATCCCTTCCCTTACCACCAATCGGCTCCCAAACAACCTTCCCCCGTGCCGACAAATCGATTTCGCCCATCTCGGTGCCATTTCCACCCCAAAGTGACCACCACGTACGTTGAAATCCTAAAACCAAATCTAGGATTTTGAATTTGGTGTTTTTAGGGTTTTGGGGTGGTGGTTTTCGGCAAGTTGGGCGGCGGCGACGTGTGGGAGAGGATTTGGGCTGCCGCGCAAAGGTGGTGACTGGAGATTTTGGGAGGGAGAGGGGAATTTGTAGCTGGTGCTGGGGAATTCGAGAGGGAGAGGGGAATTTGCAGGTGATGGCTGGGAGTTCGGAAGGGAAAGGTGGCTGGGGTCAGGAATTTCGCCGGCGGGGAAGGGGGACGGTCGCCGGCCAGCTGGGGGTGGGGTCAGAGCTAGGCTGGTGGCGGAGGTTGCTAAGGTGGTGGTGTTTTTTTTTATTATTATTTTTAATTTTAAAAATAATATCTCTAAAGTTAGTTTATTAAGGAAATAATATTAATAAGAACCAATTATAAGCTACCATGTGGCATAATTAACGTTAATGACTAACTGAATTAACGAAAAAGGGCATGTTGTGACATTTTCATAAAACTGAACGTTGTATGGTGTATTAGAAAGTTTTATATGGTATATAGTGAATTAAGCTTTAACTCAGTGGTATATGGTGAAAAATCCGAAAAAATGGTGAATGAAAGAAAAAATTGGCGAGTGAAATGAATTGCAAATAAAAAAATGTACTGGTAAAATCTAAAAGCCTGGTGAAATGGCGATTTTTTTTTTTTAAAATTTTGGGAAAAGGGTATTTCAGTTTGTTTATTATTTTCATATCATTAATTAATTTCTACATTTAGGTTATTTTGTACTGCATTTAGGGCCTGTTCTCATAGACTGAACTTAGCTGAACTAAACTGAACTGAACTGAGCTGAGCTGAGCTGAGCTGAACTGAACTGAACTGAACTGAATATTTTATAAAGCCTTGTTCTATTCACCTTTAAACAAAATAATATTAAGTAAATTTAATTTCAGTTCAGTAAAAATAAGTTCAGTTCAGTAAAATTAATTTCAGTTCAGTAAAAATAAGTTCAGTTCAGTAAAATTCAGTTTTCTTAAAGAAGAACTATAATAGAAAATCAGTAAAAATAATTTCAGTTAAGCAAAAATAATTTCAGTTCAGTAAAAATAATTTAAGTTTAGTAAAAATAATTTAAGTTCAGCTAATTTCACTCCAGTAAAAATAATTTCAGTTCAGCAAAATTAAGGTGGAGAGAACAAGGCTTAAGAGAAGTTTTTTTTTTTTTTTTTTTGTTCATTTAAAAAAAAAATAAAAAATCCAAAACAAAACTGAATAAATTAAAAAAATAAAAAATCAATACCCACACTGCCACACAGTTCACATTTTAGTGATTTTACAGAACCAGTAACAATGGCTTCCATCCTCCCCTCTCCTGTTCATCATCAACCTCGTCCTTCTCTCTCATCTTCATCTATTTCTTCAAGAAATTTTCAAACTTTTGGTGCAAAAATCCAATCTTTAAATCTGGGTTATACCCAAAATGGAAGAATTCTCTTTCCTAAACTTCAAGTCTCTACAACTGACTATCCTCCTCCTCCTCCTCCTCCATTGCCATCTCCAGAGTTCAAGGAACTTATTGCTTCTTTAAAGCTCAAATTGTTGGTAATTTCCCTAATTTTGCACTAATTTTATGCTTTTCACTCAATTTAATTGTCTTTCCTACTTAATAATCTAGAAGTTCTGAGTCTGAATCTTTGGTGAACGATTATTGCTGTGAAATTAGAATTGTTTTTCTACATGATTAATGAATTCGATTAGCTTAGATTGTGAAAGCATTAGTAAAATGGGTGGTACCCAAAACCCCAGATTGAATTTCGTCCACATAGTTGATTTTGCCCTTTATAAAACAAGTTCAATTGTTTAATCATGTTATTCTGCAAAATTTTATTTGGTGAAGTTTTTGGGATCCTACCTATCGCCAAACTTGGGTTAATTCAGGTTATGTGCATACTGAATTTAGACATAAAAAGAAAAATCTGATGCCTTATGTTCCTTGGATGCCTGGTGAGGGTTTTGTAGATGCAATTGATTGTTGTTTGATATGGGTCTGATTTTGAGATCATTTTACAGTATCCATTGCTTTGTGCAACTTATCAAAAACCCAATTATGTATACCTGATGTTTGCTATTGTTTTGCTGGTTTTACTTATATGGCACATCAATCAAAGATAAAAGCTTTTTAAGGCAATTCTCTTAGTATCCTTCACATCTTATGCCAACACGATTTGTTGAAGATAAATTAAATTGAAAGAAGAGTGATTAAGCATGATGTGGGATAGACACTTCCAGAACTATAGAAGGCTATGTCAAAGATGGTAATTACAGCTGTTATGAAGGCAGATAAACTTGCAGGAGTTCTATCTTCTTGGTACTCTGCTTGTCTATAGAAACTCGAATATTATTTCCAAGTTGCTCTTACTAGAAGTCTAGAACTTAGACCCAATTGTTTAACTTTCCTCAATTCCTGATTCATGCTCCTAGAGTACAAACTATGCAATTTCGATAGATCATGATTAAAGGGTTAGGCAAGCCTCTAGGTTAAACAAGCCAAGTTCAAGAAAAATTTCAAGAAGTTTGGTAATCCTAAGATGTTGCTATTAAATCTGGTTATAATAATGAACAATAAGTTCGGGTACAAACTAATACTCCGTAATAGTTAAGTAGCTGTTGATAATTTTCCAACAGATCGAATGGTAGTATATCTTTGAGCGTTCCTTTGTCACTGGACAAAATAGTACAGCCATGGAATTTGTTGAAACCTACTTGTTTTACATGATCTCATATTTATTAAAAAAAACTATAGTATTTAGTTTCCAATTTCTTTTCGAGTTAGGTGGTCTCGACTCTTGTTTTATGTTCATCCCCTTTCGGTTCTCTGAAAGTGGCCTTTTGACCCATTATTCATAAGGTTCTCAACCTATTGATTGGAGCGTAAAGTTTATTCTGTACAAGCTTGCATGATGACAGCATGACTGATTCTTTCCTCTGGATTTACTGTCATCCTTTCCACCTCAGCAGTTGAGCTGCTAAATTCCGCAACGCCCAATGTATTGAGACTATTGACCATTAGCTAAGTATCTGTATCGGCTGTAGATGTTACTAAAATAGTGGTTTGAACTGCACCAATAATTGAGTCATTTGTATCAAAGATCTCTGAATACATTGCTAATAGAATGTCAAAGTAAACCTACAAAAGAGACGAAGACATTGGTCAATATGGCCTTACCCTATTGGACCAAGTGGAGGCCATGGTCTTGGGATGGTAGACTATGTTAAAGAACCCATATGGAGATTGTGAACAGCCTCATATAATTGGAAAGAGGATCTTTGTAAACTGACCATGAGTGATTAAATTTTGGTTGATGCAGCTGATCCTGACCTTTCTTTTTTTTTTTTTGTTGTGAACCCTTCACACATCCTCTCTTATATTGATACATTATATTTTATTGCTTTATTTTCCTTTCTTCCTATTTGTGTATGCATGCATAATTTGAGTACCGAAAGATAGACCCTATGTTTTGTTGGAGCCTTGTACGCTAGGTGGTTGTCAATAGTATGTATTCAATTTCAGGAAAAAAAAACTCTTAACTGCATCATTGATACTGTGCTTACTTTCCTATTCAATTTGGTTGATTTACCACAGAGTGCTGTCTCTGGGCTAAACAGAGGTCTTGCGGCTAATGAAGATGATCTAAGGAAGGCAGATGATGCAGCACGGGAGCTTGAAGCTGCTGGTGGACCTGTAGACCTCTCAAATGATCTTGATAAACTCCAAGGAAGATGGAAATTATTATATAGCAGTGCTTTTTCATCACGCACTTTGGGAGGGAGTCGTCCTGGACCTCCTATAGGAAGACTTCTGCCGATTACTCTTGGTCAGGTCTGCCAATCATTCTTTCATTCTATAATAAAATGTTACTTCCTGTTGAATGAAAGAGCTCATCAATGATGATTAAGTTCTGCACTTTGCTAAAGATCTTCGGAATATTACTTTTGAATCTCTGGTAGTTCTGTTCTAAGTTTTTATCTGTTGATTGGTGCTCCTTCCATCCATAATTGGTAGGCCACCTTTCCAGTCGATCATTTTAAATAAATCTTTGTGCTGTAGAGTTGTACTTGGAGTCATTGCTTGTGCTGTGCATTTACTATTTGTTGTTCGGCTGTTTTGAACAGGTGTATCAACGAATTGATGTTTTCAGCAAAGATTTTGACAACATCGTGGAGATTGAATTAGGTGCTCCATGGCCCTTACCACCTGTTGAAGTAACTGCAACGCTAGCACACAAATTTGAGATCACAGGTTTGTCTCGTCATAAATTAATTTTCTGTAGGTTTGATTTTCATATTCATGTCTAGAAACTATCTCCTAAAATCACATTCTGTTTCCATGTGATCAGGTTCTGCTTCAGTTAAGATCATATTCGAAAAAACAACAGTGAAGACAACTGGAAACTTGTCGCAGCTACCTCCTCTGGAAGTTCCTCGGATACCAGATTCACTCAGGCCTTCATCAAATCCTGGAAGTGGTGATTTTGAGGTCACATATATTGATGCAGACACCCGTATCACTAGAGGAGACAGAGGCGAGCTTAGAGTATTTGTCATCTCTTAATCTGCATGACAGATTTCGCACCATGGCTTATATATACATATATATATGAAATTATAAAGAGTGATTCTTTTGACAAGGCTTTTTGGACTTTGGATCACCCCCTCCAAAGAGAAACTCTGATTTTCTGCCGATTCATATGTATAATACATTAATACTGTATAAGATGAAGATATACAATATATGGACTATCATTGTACAGAGGTTATTTTGATATGAGATTCAAACAAGATTTCGTACAATGTTCTTAAATTTGTTGTTCATCTTGGCTACTGATTTTACCCAACTTCGGGTGATTTTGCTTGTTTCCATCTCGTTATATTCCTTCGTTTGGCCAAAGCCACCTTAAGAAAGACGATGTTTCAATCTTTATATTTAGACCATGAAAGCTCTTGTGATTTTAAGGCTTAACAGGCACCAGGATGGTTAAGCCATGTATACCGCGGAGAGAATGGTGGCATCAAATTGAGCCTTATAGGACTAGATTCTCTTTTGGAATCAGAAGAAACGGGTTTATGTGAAGCCCTCCGGTGGCTCGGGGATCGTATGAAACTCCGGCGGCTCATTTTTTCAACTGCCTTAACGTTGAGTGAAACTGTTAAGGACTTTCTGATCTTTGGTGTCTACCTCGTTATAAATTGGTTGTTCCAAGTCTTCCGCTTGGAGCGTTGATTTGTTTAAATTAATTTCTTTTAGCAACTTTATCACAATAAGCTGCAGTAGCATATTACAAGTCTTTATGTTTGGATATCAAAAAAATAAAATAAAAAAGTCTTTATGATTGGATACAAGGTTCGAATCCTGGCTGCAGCAATTTTTTTTTTTTATTAACAAATTAATTTTCCAGAGATAATAGCATTTGTCGAAGGATAATTGTTGTATTTTACTATTTTTACTAAAATCCCTTTTAAACAATTTTTTTTGGTGTTCTACCCGGTTCACCCTTTGGGCTAATCCGGATTCGGGGATCAGTTCTGGGTGGTTAGGTTCCAGTCCCATCCCAATTGTTGTTGCGGGGGATTGAATACGGGTCCTCCCTACCAAGTGTAGTCCCAATCACCACTACATCAACAACCAATTGACAAATTCCTTTTAAACAGTAGACATGTTCTATTCACTTAATTGAACTTATTACACCTGAATCAGGTGAACAAAAACAAACCTTAAATACCCATTTTTTTTTTAAAAAAATTCTTCCTTCCTAAGACTTAAATAATGTTATGCTCCCCTCTTTGTCGTCCCAATGTTGTAGTTTAACAAATATCTACGTTTCATATTAAATGCAATAAAACTTTGATACAGATTTGTGAGTGTAAAAGAAATGATAACATTTGTTAATTACACATAATGTGAACTTTTCATTTTTAGTAAGTAATGCACATCATATAATCTAAAACGAAGGTTGTATTTAAAGATCAAATTATATGATAATCAACAAACTTCATTGATTTAAGTAATCTTTATCACTTACATTTATTTTAAAATAACTAATATTTTCTTTAAACATATTTTAAGAGGTAGTTTCAGTTAATCAATTTATTATTTGTTTATCAAATGGTAAAATGGTAAATAAAACGACATATATTTTCAATCATCATGACATTTTCGTAAATAAATCAATAATAGTAGGACTCATATTTAATACAAAATTGTAAGTTTATTTACAATTTTGCCATTTAATAAATAAATTTTATTTATCAAATTGATTAATTGGTGTTTTCTGTATTTTTTTATTCAAACATTTACGTATCACACATGTACTCCCTCTGTCCTAATTTATTTGCAACATTTTGACTAGACACACTTGCTAATATATATGTTTGACCGTTGATATCTTTTAATATATTTTTATAAAAGCTATAAAAAATATATTAAGAAACTATACATTAAAATAAAGCCAATAATACCTTACATAATTACATTGACTTTTATATAATAGCTAAAAAATATGGTCAAAGTAAGATGTGTGAAAAGTATAAAAAGTTAAAATATTGCGAGTAATTTGAGACAGAGAGAATAATTTTAATAAATTCTCGGTATAATAGTCGAGTCGAATTGAGAGAGTAGCCACCCTTTTAAGACATGATGGCCTTCAGGATGATGGCCTTCATTTTAATTTACTCGCCAGGGTGTCGTCTCATCACAACCAAAGATCACAAAAAAAAAAAAAAAAAAAAAAAAACGTTAGGGTTCCCTCTCTATAACGGCTAGTTCCAAATTCAAAATTCACAAGAAAATCATTTCCCTCAAAACCCTCATTTCTTTCTACTATTGCAAAATTTCTTTCCGTTACAATCACTTCCTCTTTCCCTCCTTCACGCTTCCCAGCTTTCTCTCTCTTCATTCAGTAATCAATTCTCAATCTTTTATTCAAAGAAACAATCTTTTTGATTAAAATTTCAAGAAATCTCAATCAAATTAAGCAGCATTTCAATAAAAAAAATCTTTGACTTCTCAAATCAAAAGAAATATTTCCCAACTTTAATTACTCTGTTTTTGGATTGATTTTTGATCTGGGTTTCTGTAATTTGAACTTCAAAATCCATCAATGGCTCCAACCCCATCTTCATCTTCAAAATCAAATCATACCCATTTCAATATAATCAAAACCCCACAATCTAAACAACGTCTTCACTTCAATTCTTCAAGAATTCCTCATCCTTCACCAAACCCTAACCAAAACCCTAATTCCCAACCTGCAGAACACCCAGTTGAAGTGATTGGAAGAATCAGGAATCTTCCAGAACCATCAAAAGATGATAAACCCATTACTAATCTCTTCCAAATCATCCCAGATCAGCAAACAATTAGGGTCAAGACCGAAATCGGATACCGCGATTTTACCCTTGATGGGGTTTCATCTTCTGAAGATGATGACCTTGATGGATTCTACAAGAATTTTATTGAAAGTAGGATACTTGGGGTTAAAATGGGGGCTAAATGTACTATAATGATGTACGGTCCAACGGGTTCGGGTAAGAGTCATACCATGTTTGGGTGTTTGAAGCAACCCGGGATTGTGTACAAGAGTTTGAAGGATATTTTGGGAGATAAAGAAAACGGGGAAGAACAAGTTGGGATGTTTGTGCAAGTTTCTGTGTTGGAGATTTATAATGAAGAGATTTATGATCTTTTGTCTTGTGATAAAAATGGTGGATCATTCAATCTTTGGTCCAAGGGCAGTGCTTCTAAGGTATAATCATTTCAATATTTTTGGTTAATTACCCTTGTTTTGTGTTGAATTATTGTTTAATGCTTTGTTTAGGTTGATAATAATGAGTTAATTTAGCTTATTGTTGAATGTTGTGTGAATTGTGGTTGCGATCTGTGGTACTCGGACTATTCATTTCACTAAATTTTGAGTTAAGTACTTAAGTTTATGGAGAAGTTTTATAAATTAGCGGAGTTGGACGCTTAGACATGGACTCGAGTCCGAGTAACAAAGGTTGTAATTAATGTTGTTTGTCTAATTTATGTATTGCTCCACTTGATTTTATGCAGTTTGTAATATAGTATTTACATTTGATTAGTCAAGCTGTTGGGTTGTTTATCTTCCTTGTTTCTGTTTCAATTAGGTGTTAGCTTCTCAGAATTGCCATTTTATACTAGATCAAACCCTAAATGAAGGTTCATCATATAGAAAATGCAGGTTCTTACTGATTTCAACTTAATTAAATGAAGGTTCATCATATAGAAAATGCAGGTTCTTACTGATTTCAACTTAATTATGGTATAATCATTTGAAAATAAAGTTCAAACCCCTCATTCCAGGTAAAACTAGAAGTGATGGGAAAAAAGGCTAAAAATGCAACATTTATATCTGGAAATGAGGCTGGAAAAATTCTGAAGGAGATACAGAAGGTGGAGAAGAGAAGGATTGTTCGAAGCACGAATTGCAATGACAGAAGTTCCAGGAGCCATTGCATGGTATGGATGTTTTATATCTTACTATGACAACATCTATTATGTGATGTCTAGGCTTATGAAGTTTATGACTTTATATCTATCTTTTGGATAATGGCAGATAATCTTGGATGCTCCAACCGTTGGTGGAAGGCTGATGCTCGTCGATATGGCAGGATCAGAGAACATAGAACAAGCTGGTCAGGTTGGCTTTGAAGCCAAAATGCAGGTAATATAAAGCAAGGATTATAGAAATCCTTCAATGGCTCAGTTTAGGCCACATTTTATTTGGAGTCATACTTAATGAGTTAATATATACTTAGAATACATTGGGTTGATAAAGATAAAAATGTGGTTTATTATACTAGGATGAAGGATGGGTTGACAAATGACAATAATAAATATATACTGGTTATGATCTAATTTTACTTTCCTCTATACTTAGAAAGTGACCAATTATTTTTGGACGATAAAAACAGAAACGTGGTTTATTATACTAAGAAGGGTGGTACAACAGTAACGAATATATACTTTCTGATCTAATTTTACTGTCCTTGGTACTTATGCAGACTGCAAAGATTAATCAAGGTAATACAGCTTTGAAGAGAGTTGTTGAGTCTATTGCTAATGGTGATTCACATGTACCATTTAGAGACAGCAAGTTAACTATGCTTCTGCAGGTATACAAGAATTTCATGTTTTTATATCCAACAAAATTAGTTCAAGTTTTCTATAAGATCAGTTTTCTACTGCTTCGTTGACTGTTTAAGAACATTGGGTGCTTTTCTTCCTGCTATGTCGTTGTAGGATTCTTTCGAGGATGACAAGTCCAAGATACTGATGATCTTGTGTGCAAGTCCTGACCCAAAAGAGACACACAAGACAATCTCTACACTTGAGTATGGAGCAAAAGCAAAGTGTATTGTTCGTGGTCCACATACTCCTGTCAAAGATAAGATCGGTGAGGATTCAGCTTCTACTGTGATTCTAGGATCAAGGATCACAGCAATGGATCAGTTCATCCTGAAGTTACAAACAGAGAACAAGCAAAGAGAGAAAGAATGCAGTGAGGCAAAGAAATTGCTTCAGAAAAAGGAAGAAGAGGTTTCACAGTTGAGGGCAAAGCTTGGGCAAGTGGGAGGGGAACATGTGTCAGGTGCTAGTGAAGAGGAGATCAATGAGAAGGTCAATGAACGTATGCAGAAGTTGAGGAAGGAACTCGAGAAGCAGCTGGAAGAGTGCCAAAGAATGGCTAATGAGTATGTTGAGTTGGAGAAAAGGAGAATGGAAGAGAAGGTACAAAGACAACAACAAGAAGTTGAAATGCTGAGGCGAAAGTTAGAGGAAATGGAGATTGAGCTATCTCGTTCAAGGGATGGAAGTAGTAGTGATGGAAGTGGAGTTGAATTAGATGGCATTGGTCTTGTGAAAAGGCTAAAGGAAGTGTATGCTGATGAAGATCCTGGAATGGAGAAGTCGATGGACTTAGACATGGGCGATCAAGATTCTTATGCTCGTGAAGTAATTGTAGGCCAGTATCCTACAAATCTGTTCAGTGGGATGCAGGGTTCTTTCACTCCAATACTTTCTGAAAAAACATATTTGAGCACAGTTTTTGAGGAGGAAGAAGCAGAAGCCGAGGATGAGGATGAAAAGGCTAAGCTGGAGGATGATGAGGTGGAAAAGAAAGTTATAGAGGAGAAGAAAGTCTCTACATCGCCACTGTATGATGTTCAACTCACTCCATCCTCCAGGAAGACAAGGATTCAGAACATATTCACCTTGTGTGGAAATCAAAGGGAGCTTTCACAACGAACTCCTCAATGTCCTGAAACTCCATGTGATCAATCAACAGTCGAGCAAAGTCCTATGACACCACCTAATCGCTCTCAACTTTCTTTTGCTGCTACACCAGAATCCCTGAAGAAAAACTTCAATCCATCCCCAAATGCCACACCAGAGCCTATGAAGGAAAACTTCAATCCATCAGCTAACAATGAAGAAAAAGGTGTTCTGATTGAAGTATATGTTAAATGGGAGGCAACAAAGGAAAATCCAGGAAAGTTTATCAACAAACTTAAGGTTGTCAAAGATGCAACCTTGGCTGATTTAAGGAAACTCATTGAGATTCATCTTGGTGTCGATAAGCAGGATTTTACTTTCCTGTCACTAGGGGTATGTATATAAAGTTATTGCTGATTTCTTTCACTACATAAGAACCAATCTCATGTTTATAACTTTATATGTCTATGTTATGACAGGATCCTACTGGAGCTCCAATCTCGAAAGAAAAGGAAGATAGTTTGCTCGCGAGTAAACTACCAACATGCAACAACCAACTAGGAGGACACTTAGCATGCTTGAGGCCAGCCAAGGGAGCTCAAAGTCCTAATGTTGTTCCATTCACCCCACTGGAAAACAAGCTTTATACAACTCCAGTTTCTTGTGCAAAGAAGCTAGTTAATGACTCTTCTATATCACCTAGCCTCGACTCTAGTCTGGGTTCCACTCCCTACATTACTCTTCGTCGATATTAACAGGGGTACATAAGCCTATGTACTTGTTTGTTGTATGAACAACTTGACTTTTGTATCACTGACTAATATGAAGTGGAAGTGTAATGGTATATATATTCCTTTTGTCTAACCTTTCGATTACACTTTGTCTTTCATTTCATTTCTTGCTGTTTCTACCCTTGATCCTTATGCTGTCTACTCTCTCTATACAGTTGCTGCATCAGCCTCTCATTCTCCATTCTCTAGCTAGTCTAACATCTCTAGTTAATAAAAAATGATACGCGTTGTTTTCCCTTCTATGTGTTTTCAGACTTATATAGAGGATCAAAGAGAAGGTAATGGTAGAGATAATATCATAACAAAGGGCTGTAATTCAGAAATGAGAGGAAAAGTCATGCTTAAGCTGTAAGTTGATGCTGCTAGATAATTAATTAGCTAAAACAGCTATATGTAACTCACTAAAAATCACATTTTCCAGTAGTAAAATTGATTATTATCCTTAAAACACTCCATAAATGAATATAATTTGTTCAATGTTAGACTGGTTGAAAGACAATTATTCAAGCCGGTAACCAATTTTGTTACATGACAAGTTTCAAATAGATGATTACTTGTACTTCAATTTGTTTGACTGCAAGCAAAGAAGGCAATGATAATTTGGTAGTATTTGATGTATGTAACTCTACCTGTAAATTTTTATTTATTTTTTATATTGAGTTACAAAATGCAAATTAAATACTCATAATACATATAAAATTTAATCTCAAATCTTAAATAGTACATCCAACAGTCGTCGTATACTTAAATCAATTAACTAGTTGAGACTTGAGAGTAAGTTGACAACCTTGATATCAATCGACCATAAGATCACAACGAGTGTATTTGAAGGTGGGTTATAAACTTATAAAGTATTCTCTTTGTCTCTATTTGTTTGCCCATTGCTGTTTGTGAACCAAACTTTAAAAAGTTTACCAATTATCACACTTTAATCAAAGTTTGCTTTAAGAGATTAATACTCCATACTTTGTATTTTACAATTTATGTGTGTATATAATTGGCGAAATTAATTGTTTAATTTACTCATATAGCATATGTTGAAGACTATTAAAAAAAAAATAGAGACAAAGAAGTAATTTAATGACAATAATGTGGGCCATGACTATGAGGGCCTAGGGTCATTTTTTAAAACGGTAAACTACGGGGAAAAGGGCCCCACCTATCATAGGAAAAGAGGTGCTTTGAGGAATCGAATCCCTCCATCTCCTCATTCCTCGGGTAATTAGGAATTTTGGGACCACACTAGATGCATTGTTTTGAGTAACTTGATTTAATATTGATTCATCTTTGAACTTTGACTACATGACTACACTTTTTACAAAATATAATTTATAATTTTTTTGTGTAAAATATTGTTGAATTAACATACCTGAGGAGAGCCTTTTTTCTTTCTCTAGGGTTTTAGTTTTCTTAACCGTTTAGGTCGGAATAGTCTAATTTCCTCTTTTTCTTTAATTCAATTTATTTTTTTTGTTTTGCTTTACGTTTTTTTTATTTGTTTTGTTTTGTTCTCTCCATCTGGAGACTCTGTCCTAATTTTCTGGGTTTTTCTCAATTTTCTGGGATTTTGATTTTCATCTATGGATTGGAATTTTATTTTTAGGTTCTTATAATAATTGGGAAGGTGATTTGGTTCCTATGGGTATGGGATTTGTCATCAACTGATCGATCAATACATCAGTGCGGATTGCGGATGTCTCAACTTGAAAATATGCAAAGACATCAAAAATATTGCTCTCGTCAAGCTTGAAACAGCGGAGTATGAGCTATGCCAAATATGCAAATTAGTAATGATTTTGATTGTAAAAGTTATGATATTTTCTCTAAATTTGTGGTTTACAGATCTTTATTATTGTAGATGTCGTATGACTATTATTTAATGATATTATTACTTCTCGTTAAAAAAAATGTTGAATTGATATCTATTTATGTTTTCAAAATATAATTTATAATTTTTTTTATTATTTAATGTACTACGTTTATAAAAATTAATTTTAAAAATAATTTTTTTTATTAAAAAAAAAGTCAAAATGTTACGTCTATTGTAAAGGAAAGGTATTAGTATGATTAGGGCCTCTGGGCTCAGTTTTGAATTCCGAGTTAGATAATTGACCATTAGGTGCGATTTATGCTTGATTTTGACCCCCTTTTTTTGGTTTGGCATCTTATTAGACAAACTTCTATAGCTCTATGTGATTTTCATATCATTTTTTAGCTGGATTTCTTAATTTCTTACCTTATATATAGAGAAACTTGATTGGATGAGCTGTCATTAAAGTTGGACTTGATTTCTCACCTTAATTGTTAGGGAGAACAATAATTTATTTTTTATTTTTTTAAAAAAAGGGTTTAGACGGTAATTATTAGATTAGAAATTAGATCAGAAATTATTTTTTTTTTAAAAAAAATTAGATAAAAGATCGGAATTAGTTCATATAATACTTTATTGGTTTATGTATGACTCTTATCGCCCTAAATATCTTTAATTTCGTGATGAAAAAATTATGAAAATTACATAATTGAAAACACAAGTTAATTTAAATCTTTTAAAAAAATATTTGATATAATTTCTCCTTATATATTAGCATAAGGTTAAATTTAAGTTATTAAATCAGATTATCAGACAATTAGATTAGAAAAAAAAAGTTCAATATTGTACTTCATATGAAATAGATTTTTGGCGGCTTGGCCAATACTGAAGTCAAGAGCATAACATTGTCTTTGATATAATCAACACTCGTATAAGAATAGTAATTAAAGATCATAAAATAAGTTATTTGGTTAAATAAAGTTAGACTGATAAAGTTAGAAATAACTTGGGCGGAGGTGTAAAATAGGGTTTCATTGCATGTATAATTTTTTGTATTGGCCTAGTTCCAAAGCATATTAAATAACAACAACAACAACTAACGGATCACAACCGTCTTTTAGTTAAATTTGGTAACAAGAAATCATAAATAGAAAAAAAAGTAATGAGAAAAATAAACGTACGGGGGATATGATTTAGTCCGAACCCTTCAAGTATCATATGTTATATATATATATGGGTAGAATAATGGACGTGTCATTTGATCTCACTTGATTGTCTAGAGATCCATTAAAAACTTCTCTATATACAGTCCGGCCTTTTGAATTGATGGTACCGCTTTTATGTGCCCTAATGATGTATATTAATTTGAGTTTAAATTGACACGTAAATTGGTACCACCATTGATAATATCCACTAGAGTACTAGTAATTAGGTATTTTAATGCACGTATGTGATAGATTTATGAACGATCAAGTTGTAAATGGCTGTGCATGTATGTTCTTGTTATATTATTATTATTTAATTAGAATATTGTGTAGTATAATTATATTTAAGAGTTTAATTTGTGCTTTTACTTTGATCATACATATATATTGTTCAATTCCTGATAATAATCTTTCTTTATTTTATTATATGATCAATTATACCAGTACATTTTATGATCTAATATAGTAGCTACTAAATATGTCTATATAAATAAATAAATAAATAAATTATTGTGTGCTTGTACTGTTCAAACTAGTTATATATTTCTATGCTGCATGTATTTAATTAAATGATTTCTCTACATGCCTAATTCTTTTTGATTAAGTTATTTAGCTGAATTCCTCAAACAAATTAAAAAAAAGTTATTTAGCTAAATAACACAAGTACATTATTATTGTATGTTATTTCCTCGTATTTCCTAAGTTTATAATAAACATTAAACAAGCTAGTACGATCATCACTTAACCTCATAATTGAGATTTATTTTCATCAATTTCTCTCTATATATATTCACCGTACTAATGTTTGCAATTCGGAGTAGTACCCTAAATAATTCAAACAAGTTGACACTAATTAATTAAAAATACTACGTACGTTATTGTACGTAGTAGTTATAGTCCGTACTTTCACCCATACTATATATGTACGTAAAAAGAAAAAAAAACACGTTAGGTTAACTGAAATACACAAAGTACTCCGTAATAAAATAAATCATACTTGTTCATAATCTGACTAATATAATTGAGATTATTGTATAATCAGACATAGGAAATCAGAGATGATATCGGATCAAAACGGATCACAATCGAGGAGTCCAGCCCAAATATCATGAAGATTATTTTTTTTTTTTTTTTTTTTTTTTTGAAGAAAACCATGGAAGATTATATTATTGCATGAGATTATATATCCTACAATAATTGGTGTTAATTAATTAAATTTGACCAAAAAGTTAAATAATTAAGTTTCAAAAAACTGGATAGAATTAATAGTAATAGAGTCACACTAAAGAGCATTCTTAGGTTGTTTACATTTCACTATAAATAACGTTCAACCCTACTCCTTTTGTCTCACACCACCTCTCTAATAATCTCTTTTCTCTAAAATAAAATTGGTTTTGTTTTCGGTGTTTGTTCTTACAACCACCACCACCACCACCGTCACCATGGTTGCTCATCGAGACGCTCGAGCCCGGAGTCCCGCTAATGCTATCTCTGCTTATTCTACTACTGATGAGAACGATGGCGATGAGGTTTATCTCTTGTTTCATTTTAGCACGTACTCTTTTTATTTTAACACTCATCATGTTTTTTTTTTATTTATGTTTGTTTTATTTGTTTTTGTTTTGTCAAAAATGTTTTTTTTTTTAAAAAATAAAATTGTTTTTTGGTTTGGTAAGTTGACTCCTCATGCCAAAAAATATAGAATCGATTTGACCTTTTGTTGAATCTTGATGTCATTTTTTCTTGATTTTTTTTAATCATTTTTATTTTTTATATGTAATTGTGATTATGAAATCATTCTCTTGATTTTTTAAAATTTTATCTTTTATTTAGTTTTTATATACTACGGAGTACGTATATAGTTGTGATGATGAAATGAAAATAAATGAAGGATGGAGAATTAATTTCCATCAACTTTTTGTGTATTAACATTTACTTCAAGAGTGTCTTAAAAAAAAAAAACATTTATTTCAAGAGTCATTTTTATAGATCTTTAATTGAATTGATTAAAAGTTAAGGTTTTTTATTAATCAATTGATTAAAATTAAATATCATCATAAATTAATTTTTACATATGTTTTTACCCTC